GTACCTCCATTTTCTTCTCCAGAAAATGGGTATAAATGTGGTTGTTGTCAAGATTAACTCAGTACAGTGTCTGACACATAGCACATGTCCAGGACAGGATAATTATTACTAACAACCACAACTCCTGGTCCTCTTGTGACATACCCTCCCCTTCCTGTGTGTTGGCATTAGTAAGCTCATTAAGGGGGCCCTACATTTGCTGCTTAACTAAGGCATTTTAGGAAGTGAGGTCATAAAAGATGAGAGGCAATTTGGAAGTGGCACAGCATCTGCCTCAAAGAATTTGCTGCACAGTAAATGTTGCCAGGCACATAATAAATGCTTCTGAGTTTGTCTACTATAATCAGCATCCTCTAACACAGTCCCCTCTCTGTTACTCTTGTTTTTTTTTTTTTTTACTGAAACCATACCCATGCCCACGTTATCAGTTGTCAGTTGTCTCCTGTCTTCTGGATTGGGTTCCTTTACGGGGATTGTGCTATTGCTATAAGTTGGAGAATTGGAAGATGTTTTACAAACACTGCCAAATGCTTCAGCAGTGAGAGCCCAGTGCAAAATGTACAGGGTGCTCTCCTGTACCACAGAAATCAGAGCTGGAGAAGATCCAGCTGGCCCTTCTACACCAAGCTTGTGGGTCACTGCAGAATTGTTCACAAAAATTCCCATTGCCTTGGATTTTGTCCAGGCCAAGGACAAAGATCACAGCACAACCTCTCAAGGGACAAAAGGGAAGACTGTTGCTTGGGATGGCTTGGGGAAATTTTGGTAGTCATCCAAGGCAGCAATCACTCATTAAACCTGTTTTCCCCTCCAGCAAAAAACAAAGTGTACATAACACCACATGTAGAGCTCTAAGACTACTGTGGCCCTCTGTATCAGTCAGTGTTTACTAGAGAAACAGATACAACACAAGATATACAAATATGCAAGAATCTACAAGACTGGCTTACAATGGCCACCAAGAGTCAGATGAGGGAGAGTGCAGAGGACATTTCACAATGGAGACTGCGGATCCAATCGAAGGTCTGAAGCTCACTGCAGTGTCCTGTGCAAGTTTGCATCAGGAGGCTGAGTCTTCACTGGAAGGTTAAAGGATTTGCATTGGAAGCCAGGAGATCACATCCAAGGAGAAGAAGACTGGAGCTCCTCCAAAGAAACAGAAACAGATCTGTCTTTCATTTCCCTTCTTAAACCATCCAGGCATCAAGCAGCCGTAGGGCAGCTCTTCCCTAGTTGTGGAATTGCTGAGCCAATTTAGTTAAGCTTCTCTTACTCAAATTGATACAATCCCATCTCACCCTCTAAAATTACAGTGCCTGTGTCTAGCATAAAAGTGTGAAGGGCTTATAAATTTTTGACTCTCAAATATGGGTGGGTTAGAACAAATGAAAATATTTTCCCCAAGGAGCATGCAGGGAAGAAATGAGAAATAGCCAAGGAGGGTATCCTAGCATGTCATTTCCTGATCTGGGCTGTCTTTCAGGGCATGGGTTGATGCTACAGCCACCAAGGCATGACCAAAATCTCCAAGGCAGTGAGGATGAGTTCAGCAGATGTCTTTGTCCCATTCATTGACAAGCTCCAAAGTCCTGACATTTACTGTGACGGGAATTTCAATCTCTTATCCTCCAAAACAATCAACAAATTAATCAAATTGGACGATTATTTATTAACTTCCTTCTTATCTATATAGAAAGTGGGACTGTGTTCTGACCTGGGCTGGTCCCCTGCTCCTGGGAGGTCACCATATTGACGCCAAACTTAGTGCAGACACCCAATGGGCATAGTGTACTGCAGCCCAGAACTTCTGGACTCAAGTGATCCTCCCACCTCAGCCCCCGGAGTAGCTGGGACTACAGGCGTGCACCACCATGCCCAGCAGGACGTGTTCTATCCAAAGCTGAAGTTTGAAGAACTGAGACCTCTCAGCGTTGGACGAGACCCTGCACCATATCTTATTGTGTGTTGGAAGATATCCATGTATAGATCTACTCATGAAAGAGTTTGGGAAGATTCTCCATAATGCGTGGAAGCTGCAGCAGTGGAATTGTGGAAGCCTTTATTTTCTACTTTATAACTTTCTCTACTGTCTGAAATGAAGAATATTGTACTGAGTTGAATAGATGTTACATATTCATTCAAGGTTACATCTGTGATCAGAAAAATGACAATCTTATTTGGAAATTGGGGTTTTTTTTTTTAAATTCTCTAGTGGGCACACATGACAGGGTTTCAGGATTTTTGCTTTCTTCCAGGGGAGAAAAAGCACAATGAACTGGAATAGACAAATAGTTGAAGGCCTTCACAGACAAAGATGATAGGAAGAGCAAGCTTTGACGCTCCTGAATATTCCTATCCTGCTCCCTAGCCTCCAGGGAACAAACGCAGCAGGTCACTGGCTTATCCCATCTCTTGCCTGACTAGCCACATTCATCCTTTAGTTCTTCTTGTAGATGCAACCTCTACTGAGAATCTGTCCCTTTCTTTCCCAAATTGAGTTCCCAATGTGCTTCCAGGGCAGCTTACCAAAGCACTACACTGTGATTTGATCACCCCCACTTGACTGATGGCACAGATGTTTTATTCATCTTCATGACCCTCAAAGGAAAGTGCTTGTCATGATCACTAAATATTTACTGAATAACTATTTATTTTATAGTCAGAGCATCTGCAAATATGAAAACTATTTCAAGAAATTTGCAACTGGGATAGCAAAACGTGGTGATTCTTTCCTGCAACCTCTGCTACTCAGGACTGAGGCAGGAGGATCTCAAGTTTGAAGACAGCCCTGGCAACCCAATGAAATCCTCTTTCAAAATAAAAACTTGAAAGGTCCAAGAGTGTAGCTTAGTGGCAAGATGCTTACTTAGCACGTAGGAGGCACTAGGTTCAGTTCCCAGCTCTAAAAACAAATAAAAACCCTCCACAAACTTGTCAATTATGGTGATATACGCTTACAATCCGATCCCTTTAGGCTGAGGCAGGAGGATTGAAAGCTCAAACCCTGCCCGGACAATTTAGCTACTTAGTGAGACCTTGTTGCAAAGTTAAAAAATAAAAAATAAAAAGGATGGGGAATGTAGCTCAGAGCAAAGGGCTGGTTCAATCATCACTGCTCCCCAATCTCTTAAAACTAGTATGTATCCAAAAATTAAAAATAAGACCAAGTACTATTTTAAGGGTTAGAATAGGAGTACAAGCAAGGAACTTTGACAGTTAGGAAGGTTCTGAACCCTGAACATTTCTTATTTACTGTGTTTTCTAGTTTAGAATCCCCATATTGGAATGCTAATATGAGCTATGTATGTGGAGTTGTAATGATTTAGGTGCTTGGGACTTTTATTAGAATTTGACTCATGCTCTTTGTTGTCCTTCTTGCAGTTGCCCTAAGAAAACCTCCATTTACTCTTAATTGATGTTTGTGAAATACCTTGTCTTTGCTGAAAGGCTGTGTTAAACTTTATTGTTGTGTTTCAATGATTATTATTAAAGCTGTGCCAACAAGATTACATAACAGCTTGGACCAGGAAGCGAAATAAGGGTCACGACCCCACTAAAGCTACAGGGGACAGAAATTTGGGATGGTAAAATGTTAATTACCCAAGACAGAACGTGGGCTAGAGTCCAGCGCTATGCTCCTAGAGATCATTTTGGTTCTAAAGGCTTGGAACTGGCATTCTGGCAGTGGGTCCCAAACATCCTGCCCTCCCCTGGCTGAACTATGTATTCACTTCCATGAAAGCTGCCACAGAAAGAGCTCAAGGGGCCACAAGCCAAGAGGACACGGCTTGCTCAGCATCAGCTAACCTGGAGGCTTTCCAGGAGTCGAAGGGCTGTTCCAATAGCATGTAATCAATTATTTATTTCTAAGCCGATTTATTTATTTATTTTATCTCTCTCTAGATTTTATTTCTCCTTTCCAGCTCTTGAGGACTCTCGCCACAGAACAAGCAAGATAAATGCTCAGGGTTGGAGGTGGCGGGAGGGTGGCATTGATGGTAAACATCCATTTACAAAGCTGAGAAAACAAATGAGCTATAGATGTGCTTGTTGTCAGGAAATGTCAGATTGTTTAATCTAGGATGGGGACGAAAAGATATCGAGGAGGATGACAGCCACTCTACTAGTTAGTTTCCAAGAATGACTCCGGAAACCAAGAATTCCTTTAAGAAGGATTCCTTAAAAAAGGTTTTTAGAATGATGGGTTGGCTGTCAGACACGACTTTAAGCCAAAGTACGGGTACTAAAGCACAACCTAACGCATAACATAAAGTAGACAGAAGTAAGCCCCAACGCTGGGTCCGCCAACCGCCTAACTGGATGACCTTGAGCTGGCTCTCCGGAGCCTTAGTTTCCCATCTGTAAAATTAGTGTAAAAGGTCACAAGTTTAACCAGATAATCTCTGTAAATAACTCAGTATAGCACTTGGCACAAAAACACGGACAATAAATGGTAGTCATTAGCATCGTCACGTACTGGACAAATAAACAGAGTTGCCCTCAAATCCTTGCTAAACAATTAACTGTGGCAAAGCATCCGGATCTGACGGACGCACCTATGTGCCCAATAAGGTACCAGGAAAGAACTCAGTAGGAGTCAAACCAATAGCGTTAGCCCTTCTTGTTGGCCGGGCTGTCTTGCCGTTCCGCCAATGGCTTGAGGTTTGACTCGTGAGCGACATCTTGACAGTCCAATGATGCACAACCAGCCCACACTCAGCACTTCGCAAGAGATAAATCAAGGAGCTGGCATGTATAGATTCCGTTATTAGGCAATGCTGGATGGAGAGAGGTGCTTAGGGGAAACAGCACCCGGGAGAGGCGCTAATGGGCTTTTAAAAAAAAAGAAAGAAAAAAGACGATGGTTGTGCCAAGCGAGTTCAGCCGCCATCATGCTCTAGTTTCCCCTGCGCTTCTCTGAGTCCGCGACCGAGGAAGCGGCCTCTGGGATGCTGAGGGGGTGTGTCCCCGCATGATTGGCGCAGGCCGTACAACCAATCCTAGCTCGTCAAACGGGAAGCATTTAGCCAGTGAGGGGCTACGGCAGCGGCGCGGAATTGGAGGGGAGGAACAGCAGCTTGACGGGCACAAAAACTAGCCATTGAGAGCCGGAGGCATCCTCCCTGCGGCCAATGGAGTGGGGCCCTGGGCGGGCCCTCGAGTGTTTGTGTTGTGGTTTTGGGGGAGGGAGGCGGAGGGGAAAGTTTGTTTATTTTGTTTTTAGTTTCTGGGGTCCCCCTGCTTCTGGAAGGTGAAACGGGAGGGAGTGACCCCCCCTCGCCCCTCAGTGCCCCTGCGACGTCGCCTCCATAGCCTGCGGAGAAGCGGGGACTGCGCGCATCGCCTCGTCTCACAGAGAAACACCGCGCACTCGGAGCCGGCGCGGCTCGGCGGTGAGTGAAGACCGGGACTAAGCCGTCCTTCCCCTCCCCCGCGCTTCGCCCAGTCTGAGTAGGGCAGCCCAGGGTGGGCGAGGACGTCCGCGGGGGCGCGCGGCGCGGCCCAGCCCGCTGAGGTGCGGCGTGTGCGCGCCCTCGCGTGTTAGTTCGCGCGGCACGAGCGGGCCGGGAAGGGGGCGGGGAGGCCGAGGGAGTACGCCTGGCCGGCGTCTGGTCTGTGTGAGGCGAGGGACTGCGAGGGACGCGGGGCGACGTTTGGTGCGCGTGCCGGGGCGCCACGAGTGGCTGGGTGGGGACGGGAGCGCGGGCGGGCACGCGCGGCTCCTGCGTCACGCGCCGGCAGGTGTGAGCCGGGCGGGCTTCCGGGTGGGCGGGGGGTGGTGGTGGTGGTTGGGGGGCCCTAGGGGCCCGGCGACGCGGCGCAGGGGCGAGGACCGCGGGGTGGCGTCCGCCTCTGCCTGGTGGTTGTCGCGATCGAGCGTCAGGCCTCAGAGCGTCTCGTCCTTGCCTGGCGTGCAGGACCTGCGTGATGGAGGGAATGCAATCATTCCCCAACCGTACCCCGTGCAGCGCTCCGCACTTCTCCCAGGATCTTAGCGGGTGTGGCCGCTGGGAGAGGCGATCCTGACTCTTGACGGTGGAAGCCAGGGGTTGAAGGAATGACAGCGTTCGAAACTGCCTGAGGAGTGTTTGCCCCCTTTGCCCTGATCTGATGCCCTTTAGATTCAATTAATGGGTTTTTTAGCTCATAGTGGCCAACTATCCAATCGAGCGAAATACACTACGGCGGTTTACGACATCCAGGCAACGGGTGCGTCTCATTCGAGCTTCAAGGACCAGCTCATCCTTGATTCTTTGAGGATAGGTTCCCTGTCTGGGACTTTCAGTCCCTGTTTTCTCTTGTATCTTTTAGCTGTTTTGTTATTTGACTCACAGTGAAACAAACCCGAGACTCAATGAATAAAGCATCATTAGTGTCCCCTCAGTAGGTAAGCATGTGTGGAAATCATACAGCTTAGCATTTTGTGTAAGTTTAAAAATAGAAGTTATTTCCCCATTGTGGGAGATTTCAGTAGTATATATTTCTTACTGATTCGAAGACTTACAGGTAATCTTGACTTTCAAACGATAGATGAACTTTTGGTAGTGTTGTGTTGATGACTGGTAGAGAGCAGAGCTTAAAAAAAAGAGCAAAGTTTGTAGCATTATCGTGCAACTCGAAGGTGTGCCATACAGCTGCGAGTAGGCAGTGGGAGAGCTACTAAAATTAAAATAAGGGGCTGGGGATTTAGCTCAGAGGCATAAGCACCTGCCTTGCAAGCAGGAAGGCCTGAGTTCGATCCCCGGTACCGATAAAAAGGAAAAAGACAAAAAAAAAAAAAAAAAATTTAAAATAGCAAGTCCGTACACTTAGGCTCATTTACTGGTAACCAGAACACAGATTAGACTGGCTTGTCTCGTTTGGGATACAGTGATAAAAATGATTATGTTTTTAAATTCTTGACAGTTTTTAAGTTCTTGTCCTAAACATTATTCAGTGTTGTTTCTGGTAGGACTTAGAGAGAAGTAAGAAATTCCCAAGTTGCTTGCCTTTAAAGTGATGCTCTTGGGGGAAAAATGTTTTTCTCTGTGAAGGTGAAGCACTAAAAATTTTTAAAGTTCAGAACGATACCATTTGTTTAAGGAGCAGTGATGCCGTTCAGCTAAAATTCATTTCATGCTTTCTACATCCCAGGCTCTTCAACGTTGTTCCTCATCTTTACCTTAAGTCTGTGGGGTTGGCATTGTTACCATTCTGGGGATTAGAAAAAAGACCTCCAAGAAACACATAGCTAGGAAGTTGAAGGGCATAGGTCTAGTCTCAAGTGTGGTTTCAGTGCCTGTGTTTGCTTCATTTTTCCTCCTAAAGTATCCAGAGGAAGAAAGGCAGAAAGGACATTGGGAAAGTGGAGAATGTCACTCATAATTAGGTAAGCCACAGGTAATAAAAATTTAAGGTTAAGTCCATTCTTTGTTTTCAGGAATAAGTACATTTTTACAGAAAAATATTGAAGTGTTTCTTTTTATTTTTGATTTTCATAAAGATTAAAAAACACATGTTATTATCCTGTAGTTTCTGGTAGCATTGCTTATCTGCTCCTGGACTTCTCTGGGTCTTGATCTCCCCTTTGGAAATAGATCTGAAATCGCTGAAAAGGACACAGTTCTGTTCTCTTCTGACTTGCCCATGAGCCCTTATGGCTAAGCCAGACTAGATTAAACCTGAACTTTGCTGAGTTTGCTAAATCATGCAGGAGTTGCACCTTGGTTATCCAGCTTGGGATCAGCGCCTGCACCTGTTATTCTTCCCATGTCTCAGCCTGATCTTGATTTCTTCCTCCTTTCTCCACCCAGCCTGACACTTTTAGAGACCTTGTATACTTTCCAGTTCAGCCGCCTGCTTACCCTTTGACATTTGCAGCCTTTTGACATTGACAACTGCTTCTAGTGTTTCCCGCTGCAGATTGCCCCCACGCTGATGTTGAAACAGTGCTTTATGTTTTCTGCTCTTTCCCAAATCTACCAGACATTTCAGTGTGAAACCTTCAATAGTGTTACTTTGCCTGGAGGGTTTCAACTCGTTAGTCTGTTACATAAAGCTCTCTGGACTAACCCTGTCCAACAGAAATAGAAAACAAGCCACAAACGTAAGCACATATGTAATTTAAAGTTTTCTAGTAGTCACATTAGAAATGTAAAAAAAAAAGTGATGAAATTGATTTTCATGGGATGTTATTCACTATACCCAAAATATTAAATACAGAATCAGTGAAATTATTATTGAGATCCTTTTTATCCCCACCATATTAAGTCTTTGAGATCCAGAGTGTATTTTTCACCAGTCCAACCACATTTCAATATCAGCCACGTGTGGTTGGTGGTTGCCATGTTGAACAGCACAGCTGTACGCCGCGTGTCCTCACCTAGCTGAAGGACTAGACTGGAGTAATTTCAGCTACTAGCCTCTTGATTATTTGTGGTCTCCTTACCTGGAACCACATCCTTATCCAAACAGGCTCAACTGAGTGTGATAGTGCACATCTGTAATCCCTGCACATGGAAGGCTGAGGTAGGAGGATCACTGAGAGTTCCAGCCTGAAGTACACAGTGAGACCCTGTCTCAAAAAACAAAACCGAGGCTAACCATCCTTCGTAAAAAACTAACTCAGGATTCTAAGAGCATCTCTAAACTTCAGTTTGTACCATCTTGCCTGAAATAATAGTATCATTATTTTTGGTACTACTTTTTCTCACATAGTAATTGTAATATTTATCAATTTTGTAGTATAATCAAAGTAAGTCATAGACACTGACTGGTAAGATTTGGCATATGAAGAATTAGAACAAGTACCAGTCATTTAGAACCTTGCTGTTCTCATTGGCCTGTACCTGCTGAATAATAGCTACGATTGTCCTATAGTAGATACTGGTGGCTTCTTTCTTTAGACTGAGTTTTTTCAAGACAGGCTTTGCTTTCTTTACATCCCTGCCTCTGACCTGGTCTGTAGTGGGTAGGGTATAAGTATCTTAAATTAATGAACAGATGCTTTCTTCTAATTATTTTATTATTTTATGTGCTTTTATTTTCCAGTTAGAAATTAAAATATAAGCCCTTTGAGGACAGGGATCATGAATTAGGAAAGAGGGCATAGCATATTTTCTTGCTTGTTTTCATAACATTTCCTCATACTCTGGAAGCTTCCTTGTTAAAATCTGGTTAAAAAGCCATGGATGCATAGTATGTACAGTTTGATATATTCAGAGATTTGCTTTTTAAAAATTGACTTTGTTTGTTACAAGTTTTCAAGAGAGGTCAGAGATGAAGTTGGAGGTTCATGAGACTTGTTTTGTGGTTTGTACTCTGAAAGCAACTTCAAAAGTAGAGCTCCAAAATAGTCCCATAATTCTTAGAATTTGTGCATAACTTTTAAAGTGCGGGCAGAACTGAGAAGTCCCTGAACCAGATGCCAAAAGTCACGGGTTTGTTTGTTGCATCTTAAGTATGAGCTATATTCTAAGCACAGAAATGATTGGGAATCCAAAAGCTACAGTGAAAAAAAAAAAAATCACAGCCCTTGAACACAGAAGAGAAGCCTACAAAGATTTCATTTCTCTCTGCTCCCTTCTACAGTACTTTACTCATTTCTAGCATAGTCTGCATTCATTTCTAGTGAGATCTGTCTCACTAGATTGCAAGTTTTGCAAGAGCAAGAATGTTTTATTCACCTCTAATCACACCTTATACTCTAACTTGCGTTATCATTTTTTCCAGTATTTATTGAAAATTCCAAATAAATTACCTAGTTGTTTGTGTGCAGTGCTAGTTTTTTCTTTTGCATGTAGAGAATTCCATGCCGCAGAGCATTGTTGAAGCTGTGACGAGAATAATCTTTTAAAAGTATAGGCTCATATGTGTTATACCTCAATATAAAATGTTTACTTAAGAAACAAGTATATATATGATATTTCTCTCCTACTTAAAAGTGTTAACAAAACCCCCAAACCCTGCCATTGCTCTCTGTAGACTATCAATCCCACGAGAGTAATATCCTAAATTCTTGTCTTATTCACTGAGTGCTCAGTAAAGACCCTGCCACTGTCTCCTGCCTCATTTCCTGTTGCTGTCTCCTTGACTGCCTGTCCTCTCGCCATACTGATCCTTTTCAAGTTCCTGAAATACATGCTTCTCCTTCCCAGGACCCCGGGCCTGCATATGCTGTTCCTGCGGCTGGAAGCCCCATGCCCTGACTGTAGCTGATACCTCTTCAGTCCTCAGAGCTCAGTTTACTCTAATGACTTCCTAATCCCCTCTGCCTCAGATTGGCAGATATGATGTTTGTTTGTTTGTCCTATTGGGATTGAACCCGGCTGCATTCCCAACTTTATTTTTCAGTTTTTAGTTTTCAGGCAGGGTCTTACTAAGTTGTTAAGTTGTCCAGGTTTGCCTGGAACTTGTCACCCTCCTGCTCTAGTACAGTTAATACAACTATCATGAAATAAATACTTACTTTGTGTGTTATGTTTCCCTTTCAAGAAAATAGCTACATGAATAAAAATACTTTGCAGGTTCATATCCCGTTTAACACTAAGACTTCCACATCATAGATTGGCACATGTTTTCAAGTGAAATTAGAAAAGATAGAGTAAGATTTTTAGAATCTCAGACTGAAGGTGTAGCTCACTGCAGAGTACAGTACGTGTTTGGCATGTGTGTGGCCCTGGGTTTGATGTCCAGCACATACACCCATGTATTTGGATATTATATATAATGTTAGGTATGCTAATAGTTAAATATGGGAGGGATTTTCATTTTTAAATTGCCTCTAGGGCCTCTTTTTTCTTTATTCTGATAGTTTCATGGGATACAGATGTTTTTGTACATTTATATTGTGTGTATATATTTTTTCTTTTAGTTTTCGTGTGTGTGTGTGTGTGTGTGTGTGTGTGTGTGTGTGTGTATGTCTGGCACTGAGGATTGAACCTAACCCTCATTCATGCTAGACAAGCACTTTGCCAGTGAGCCATAGCCTCAGCCCTGTATTTTTTTGTTAATTTCTACTTGTAATAGGTGAACATCGTTAAGATTACAGAGAAAATATTTAATTAAAATTTTTAATTTAAAAGTTTTATTTGGTTATTGCAGGATTTAATGAGTATCCTGTTAATCATTTTTAGCAGAAATAGAATGGTTATTCCTGTAAAAACCCTGTTATGTGCTAGGGATGCATGTGACTATGCTCTCACTGGACATTTGAGTGGTAGATGCTGTGCTAGAAGCCAGGACTACCAGGATGAGATTGAAAGAGGAGATCTTTGCTCCCAGGGAGTGCACAGCCAGGTAGATGAGACAGATGTGGCCCCCGATGGGTGCTGTTTGGTGTGATAAATGCTGTGCTGTAATAGAGGGCACAAGGGTGGGGCCGGAGTGAAATGGAAAGCCATAAACATGACCGGGAGACATGCAGAAAGTCTTCCCAGGAAAGATACAGATCACATGATACTGCGGAGGAAAAGAACCTTTTAGGCAGAGGATACAGCCTGTGCAGAGGCTTGAAGGAGTGTGTGTACTGTGCTTTGTGAAGCCATTGTTAGGGCTCAGGGCCATCTGCTGACTTAACAGGTTAACTTAACTGTGACAGTTCAGATTCTTGGACTACAGTGAGAAATGACCTTATGAGTGATGATCAGATTCAATATATGTGAACTGATAAAGGCATTAAAAAGTTCCACTCAAAGTCAATTATCAGTTCAGGTATGGCAGCACACACCTGTAATCCTAGAGGCTGAGGCAAGAGGATCATGAGGTAGAGGCCTGCTTGGGCCACATAGCAAGACCTCGTTTCAGGAAAACATATACATGCATGCACGCACACACTAATTGCAAACTAGAATAGTGCTTGTCACTTCTAGTTAATATGCTTGCTTGAATAGAGTTCCTGAAACCATACAAACAGTGTCAGGTGAAATTAGAAAGTGGTGACTCATGTAAGCTTATCTGTCAGAGCAGAAAGCAAAGGAAGTAACCTCTGGATCACCTGAGGCCAGTGCTGATGTCATCTCAGAGGGGCCAGCCCCTGACTGGTGAAAGGGAAAAAGTCACAAGGACTACTTTGAAGGGCCTCTGGGTCCATGCACTGGGGAAAACAGTGCCTACAGCCTGAAGGTCTTTACATATCTCTTATTCTCTGTGTGGCCCACTGAGCTAGCATTAGTCTTAATTTGGTTCTCAACTAGAGTTGAAGAAAAGATAAACTGAATGTCTCGGTTGCCCATTTTCTTTTGTTTTTAATCCCTTTAGTCTTAGCAGTTTTTTGCTTTCCCCCTTGCGTGTTAGTTGGCTTTCTGTTAACTACAACAAATACTTGAGTTAAATCAGCTTACATAGAGGAAAGCCTTGGGCTGCAGGAGTAGCTAGCTAAGTGGTAGAAATTTGCCTAGAACAGTGATGGTAAACCTGTTTGAGCTTTCAGTGATACAAACAGCCTAGTGTGGCAAGCCTGCCCAGCATGTTTAAGGCCCTAGGCTCAATCCCTAGCACCCCCAACCCCCAAGAGGAAAGGTTTATTTTGGTTCACAATTTTGGAGGTTTTGGTCTATGACTATAGTAGGTTGTCTGTTGCCTTTGGGACTTGGGTGAAAAAAATACATCATGATGGGAGTGTTTAATGAAGGAAGTCCTCAACTCACTGTGGTTCGGAAGGGCAATGAAAGGAAAAGGCGGGTTTAGAGTGCTGTTCGGGGGGCAAATCCCTAGTGACCTAACTTCCTTCCACCAGGCCCGACATGTAAAGGTCCACTACCTCCTGGTAGTGCTGTGCACTGCAGACCAACCTCTTGCCACAAGAGACGTTTACTATCCAAACTGTAGTGCCTTTCATCTGTTTTTCTCTGCTTAGTATTAAGTACCCCATTTCCTCAATCTACCCTGTCCTTGCCATTTTTTATTTTGTACCCACTAAGTTGTTTTGAAGAACAGTTGTGGGATATCTGTACGTTGGCAAAACAGTATTTCTCAGCTTTGCATATTCATAGTTTATACTTTGCAAATGGGAGGAGATTAAGCTGTATTCATGCGATCGCACTCACAAAATGCTAACCCACCTACATTAATGCTGACTTCTGTAAATTTGTGTATTTACTGACCTAGATTACAAAAGGCTAACAAGGGGGCTGGGGATTTAGCTCAGCGGCATAAGCGCCTGCCTTGCAAGCAGGTAGTCGTGAGTTCGATCCCCGGTACCGATAAAAAAGAAAAAGACAAAAAAAAGGCTAACAAGGTGATAGGTAGTAGGGAGAATAACGGGTGCTGTTTCAGCTCATTGGAAAAGAAAAGGATACAAATGGCAGATGAATAGGGTGAGAAAGCAGTATCCTAAAGTGAGATGGGAAATCTGTTTAAAGGTAAAAAGGAAGGATCAAGGGGGAGAGAGAGAGAAGAAAAGCTGAAGCTACATAAATGCAGATGATAGCAGGTTAGAGGGGGAAAGACCCTAGATTCTTC